AGTGTTTGTAAATAGGATATCATGTCCGCATCTTGTACAGCAAGTAACCACTAGGAAGAATGTATGCAATGTGTGAATTATTGAAACTGTCCTACCAATTTGGTTTGAAACTGTCTCATTGCTATTTGTTTCTCAATAAAATTATGGAAATAAAATAAAGTCCAGCGATAACTAGGGGCACCGGCAGAACATTAATCAGTCAGAGACTTCATGTGTTTATTTTTTCACAGCAAATTCCTTTGGATAGGGTGAAAAGACGCTTCTACTCCTGTCATGCTTCAGTTGTTATGACACCAACTGTCAAGTTTTTATTAAGACCGTGTTAATTATGGTCCATTTGAAAAGGAACAGGTATACCGTGCTGGTGATTTTATGGTATAGTTTTTGCTGCCCAGTTAACAGTCCCCTGCAGCAGTGCCAGCGTACACCTTACTTCGGTGTGGCTTCAGCCCTCTGTGGCTTCCAGCACAGGAAAGCCCAGCTCTGCAGAGCGTGGTCTGTCCCTCAGCACCCCGGCGAGGAGCAGCGCGCTAGCCTCAGCCTCTGCAGCCTGGAGGCAGCAAGGGACCGCAGATGAGGCCAGGATGGCTGCTGCGGGAGGGCTCTGTAAGGAGGGTCCCCAGAGATGCACGGCAGGAGAACTCGATCTGCGAGTTCACGTGAGTCACCCGCAGAGCTTCCAGAATACACAGGGGACGAGGGTGGAAAGAGCCGGAGCTGCCATCGCGGAGCTCCTGCAACTGTCGTGACGCAACGCTCTCCCCAGCCTTGCGCGCCTGGGGACACACCGGTTCTATATCTGTACCACGGTCACTAGATACCAAGGGCAGTTTCAGTCTTCAGCTTGTTCAGACAAGTCCTTTCCTAAAATGGGTTACTTAGGATACAGCTGCTGGGAGGTCCAGCTGTCACCCATCCTTCTTACATTTCCTGCTCACGTCCAGATGAGCTAAGCGGTATTAAGTGTAGCTGAGGTCACTGAAAAGATTTTTAAATAAGCTATTTTAAAAGTTACTGACATCATCAACTCGGAGCTGTTATTCCTGGGTCAGCACGGCCTCCTTCCCCCAGCTGCGGTCTGCAGACCTCCGGCTCACCGCGCGACTGCGCAGGCGCGGGTGCGGCCGCCGCGCTCTCACGCCCTCTAGCACCCTCCTCGAAAAGGGAGGAGGGCGTCTTCCCAGCCGCGTTCAAGCCGAAGGGAGCAGCGGGCCACCATTTGGTTCTGTCGCGGGCTACCTTCGCTTTTAGTAATGATGGAAATCAAAAACAAAGCCCAAATTCACGGGGGAAAAGGTTTTAATTGGAAAGTTAGAGGGATGCCTGGGCAGGACTCCAGCTTAGGTAGCAGGCCCTGCACGCTCTGGTGCAGGGCTCCACAAAGGCCCACTGCAGGGGCTAGAGGCGGGCTTTCACGGATTAGAGAGTGAGCGGAATCCTGCAGACCGCTATCACAGTGCTATCTCAGTACTGGCAGTTTTAAGATCTTTATGGCAGAGGGATGGGATGGTTTCCTAACCCCCCAAAAAAGTTTGTCTCTGTCATGCCGTACACCTCTTTCCTTGAGGTCCTCAGTCTTAAAGGGAGATGCAATCCTGGAAATGTGAACCTAATTGGGCCTGTCCAGCCAGCTCCTCAATAGACACCTTCTAAATGATCAGTACAATAGTCCCTCACTATTTCGGGGCTCGTCTTTGGCAGACTCACCCTTTCGAGGGTTTTCAAAAAATATTAATCGGTTATTTATCGCAGGCTTTTCACCATGTTGTGGGATTTTTGCGTTAGTGTACAGTAGTATATACGTATTTATATGCGTAGTATGTAAGATTTTAATTGTTTTTACCTAAAAAAAGTTAAATACACAAAAATATATTTAAAATTTTAATTCTAGCATATTAAAAGAATATTAAACCAAAATAAAATACAGTTTACAGTGTGTATTTCTTTAGTGAATGAACATATACTGCACCGTACAGTATACATACGTTGTTAAAATTACATAGGTTTTCAAATTTAGAAAATGGTTAAGAACATCAGAAGTGTTTTTAAAAGTGTGAGAAAAGTTTACAAGAGTGCAAGAAGGGATTTTTTTCAGTGTTTTGTCAGGAGTGTCCGCCCCTTGAGGAAGAGGCCCTGCAGATTTCCATGCGGCGGGATCGAGATGATGAAGCTGTTTATTGGCAACCTGCCCCGGGAGGCCACAGAGCAAGAGATCCGCTCACTCTTTGAGCAGTATTGGAAGGTGCTGCGATGTGACATCATTAAGAACTGTGGCTTTGTGCACATAGAGGACAAGACAGTGGCAGAGAATGCCATCTGGAGCCTGCACAACTGTAAGTTGCACGGAATGAACGTCAATGTGGAATCCAGCAAGAACAAGAACAAAGCTTTAACAGAGTTACATGTGGGTGACATCAGCCCCACCTGTACCAACCAAGAGTCTCGGGCCACATATGAGACGTATGGGATAGTCATCGAATGTGATATCATGAAAGATTATGCCTTTGTACACATGGAGCAGGCAGAAGATGCTGTGGAGGCCATCAGGGGCCTTGATAACGCTGAGTTTCAAGATGGGATGTGCGTGGGCTGAAATTCCGAGCTGTGGTTGTGCTTGAGAATTGGTTGGTACCCGTCTCTGGGACATTTTTGGCTCTGTGTATTCAGTTTCTCAGGAACCATGAACCTTAATTTACCTTGCTAAGTTCAGACCTCCTTTCTTTTTCTCTCTAGTGCCCATTATCCTGCTCTTACTGTTGTTTGTTCTTGCTCTGTAGCTTCCCATTCATGTTCTGTTTTCCCAGCAGGCCTCACTGTATGCAGAAGCTGTGGTGGGGGCTGCCCTGTCTCCTCCTGCCCCTTGCCTCCTGTGGGTGTTGGATTTGGGAATGACCTGGTGAGAAAGTCACCACTGCTCTTGGGTTTCTTTTAGTCCAAACGCTAGGCCTAGAGTTGGATCACTTTTATCTTTCCAGTGAAATAAATAGTTTTTCAACTTAAAAAAGAAAAAGAGTGTAAGAAAGGCTTAT